ACAAAAGAATGTTTCTGTCTAACTCCAGTTAAATTATTATATCAAAAATTTTGTAAGTGAATAAGAAATAAATATCAAATAAAAATGTTCTCTTATCATAAGTAAAGAAGACAGCAAAAAATAATTAAATGTATGAGTTTCGGAATTTTATTACTTTGTAAAAAAGGAAGACACAACCATCACTTTTGTGTCGAAAGGGAAAATTAACTTCCTTTCCCAGAGCCTTATTTTCAAAGTGATCTAATCATCTGGATATTCCTTCTGTACATCCCGTTTACAAACGAAAATTTTTTAACACTATTAGTAGCGGGGAAATGTTGATTCTAGCTCACTAGAACGAGAATGGCTAAAACGTGAATGACCCAGAATCGAAAAATTTCATAATAATAAAAAATGAAACAAAATCATGTAAAAGTAAAATACGTTTTTTCTTCCTCATTCACATGCCTTTAAATTTATCGAGCCTCAAAATTCGGAAAATCCACTAAGAGGTGAGAATTTTATGATGCCAGTAGTGATAATATGTAGGTTCTGCCCTTCGAAAAATAAATAATTTTAAAAAAATAAAAAGTAATAAAAATAACAAAAAATTACTGAAATTTAAATAAAAATAAACACAAATTTCAAACTACCTAAAATGCCGTTTACTTCTCTCTTCTTTAAATAAGTTAAAGTAAAATAAAAATAAAAAGTCTCATTTACTTTTATGTATGAATTACTTTAGAATAAACTCTACAATGTATGCTTTATTTGGGTTGCCGCATCTATATATATAATCGAGACGAGTTGATAATAATAATAATAATAATAATAATAAGCGCAGAGCCCAAACGGTTAGGACTTGAAAGTTGAAATTTTGTACACAGTTAGGGTACGTCACGCACACTAAGAAGAGATTTTAAAATATCCCTTTTATAATTGCTTTATAATTTTAATAACATTGATCACATTTATTTAATTTTTAAATATAAGGCTTGTTGAATCTCTCTTTCTATATATATAAAAATTTTCCAAATCTCTTATAAATATATACGAAATTATATAAAACTCTTTAACATATAACAACATATACAACTAAACCTAGAACAACGCCATTTTTTCTTTTCGTCAGTGGCTATTGTTTAAAGGTTCGACTGTATAATAAATATTTATAAAATAAATTATAAGTTTAAGATTATTTTAATTTCTGCTCAATGTTTTTATTAATATAACTTTTATAATCATAAAAAAATTAAAAAACTTAAAAGAAATTTTGAATTTAAATCATGTCACTTCTCCTCAAAAATGTAAATTTTTCTAGTTTATCGGAATATCCTGTCCATTAGTATTACTTTCCTTGTATTGTCCTTTATCCATCTAAAACCATTCGTGAGATTAAGGAAGGACCGACAACAGGTGGACGACAGTGAGAATTTATAGATCTACAAGTTTTCAATTACTGCTACAAACATCATAAAAATGCATACAGTAAAATCTGTCCAAATCGGAAACCTGTCACACCGCGCGGTTCCTGTTTACACAGGTTTTACTGTATTTGTTTCTTCATTATATAAAGATAAGTTTTGCTTATGAACTAAAAATAAAACGTTACTTCTATCAATTAAAATATGTTTTACACGTAAAGAAAAAGTAAAATATTTTAACTTTACTCTTTATAATTAAATGTAAATATATTACAACGTATCAGCATTCTTAAAATTTGTTCTGTAGATAAATAACAGATTTAAACCTTATTGTATTCGTGAAAAAATTTAAAATAGCAATTTATTTCGAGATATCTGTTATATTTTTATTTATTTTAATCTACATTGTTATAGTCTGTAGCTAACAGTCGTAATTTACTATTGCAAATTCGTATATAAATTTGTTAATACGTCCATGAAATCCATGCATATTTTCTTTTAATTAAGTAACTAACAAACGTTAAGAGAAACTTATATAATAAAGTCGAGTATATAATGAATTCTTGTTTAACTTCCTTTATTATAATTAATATCCGCAGAAAACATTAAGTGAATTTCACATACTGAAGAACATTTCTTGTCATTTTAATTACGCAAATAATTCACGATAATTAAAGTTCTCCATTCATATTTTCCAGAAATAAAAAAACTTATGGCTATTGTTTTATTATTGTCTAAATTTTCTTATTTAAAAAGATTAAATTATTTCATTTAATAAAATATAGAATAAATAAAATGTTTTTACTTTAACATGGAAAGAGGAAATCAGTCATTTCCAAGTGTAGGAAGTTGCTGATTCAGACTGACTGATAACTTCAAAGAGATTATTCATCTCTTCTAGATTTATTTTTTATATTAATTATTTTTAAAAACTAAAATTAATTTTTAATAAAAGCTGAAAAATAAAAAAGTAGAGTTTTTTAAAGTTGAATTAATTTAATTTTAAATTATTCGCTTCAAGAAAGTAATAAAATTAAACGTGAGAGAAAGTAACGAGATTTCTCAAAACATTTCTTATATGAAATTCTGAACGATAAGTTTTGCTCAAAATATATAAAAGATATATTTTTTATTGTTAAACACCTATCGTGTGAGAAGAAGAAATTATTAATGTCTTTATAGTTTCTTAGATACATAATGTCGTTAAATTAGAAAGACCTTTCAACGTGTTACCGGATAAACCCTTTATTTGATTCTATTGTAAGAATAAATACTCAAGTCAAATGAGGTTTCTAAAGAGAAATGAAAAAATTGATTTAATTATATTGTCAATTAAGTCTACTTTTTTCAGATTATGAAGTTTATAAAATAGGTCTTGTAAAATGTTTAAATTTCGATCCGTGATTTATAATACAGACAGATTAATACACATTATTTAACAATACTTAAACAATAGTTAAATTTTCCACATAAAGTTACAATAGAATTCGCATAATACCACAATTGTTGCAAATATAATAATATGCATTTCTGAAACGATTTTGATCTTACCACAGGCCAAGCATTAATGAGATTGTGGATTCCTTACTTCGTGACAACCGTGTTTACTACACAATGCAGTTTTCAAACCACGAGTGAAAAGTTGCAGAAACATATTTAAAATTAAGCATCTGTTTGTAGTGAATTTTATTTCAAAAACAAAAATTTAAATAATATATCAAAGTAGTTTTTCTTAAAGTCAAGTATAATTTTTTCTGTAGTTTATCGCGAAATTGAAAAATGTTCTTACTGTAAAACTGCAAATCTCTACTAATTTATACAAACGATGTAAAAATATACACGATATTTTCGATTTATATGTATTGAAATGTACTAATGTCTTCCGTTGAATAAGCTGCATATTTCACTATTTTTCCTTTATTTTCGTTGTCCTTTGCAATACATCCTAAAGTAAACAAAATAAAACTTAGACTAATTGTTTTAAGTCAATAACTTCGTAATAATGAGATTCTTTTTATAACCCTTTATAAATTATAAAATACCTTGCAGCCGACGACTTCGTACTCACGTTACCTAAGAGTGATTGGTTACTCGGCAAATTTCTGACGAAAGAGAAATTTTCCTGGAAATTTCCCTTTTCGTGAATTAATAATTTCTCATTTAAATCTGAATAAACATAAACATGGAATTTTTCGCACTAAGACTGGATATTTTGTCTCGCTTTTTTCACAATATTTTGTTATTTTAATATTTTTTGAATACAGTGTAAAAAATATTTTTTCATACATGTTTTTTTACTCTTTTCGCTCTCTGGGCACTAAGAGGACCCGTTTTTGCAAGCCCATTATGAGTTCGGCCGAGCCCACAATGGGTCTGCCGGGTGGTGAGGGACGGGGCCCGACATACCCGAAAGGACCACCCCCCGAATAATACCTGGGGATTTTTCGGCCCGTTCGGATTAGAGCCCAGGTCCCCCAGAGCAGTGGGCTGCCACCATGACCGCTCGGCCATCCGGCCGCTTTTCGTACATGTCATATTTCTATACTACTTGCATTACAAATCTCGACGAAGTGTGCTCGGTATTCGTTAGATGCGTAATTGTCAAGGACGGTTAATTTTCAGGGACCTTCAATAAAACCGCCAGGTACTATCGCCTCCTTCGCTTCAAAATTCCGATGCCGAGGGCCGAGGCTAACGTCAAATTCGTACTGCATCGAATAGACTAGTGAGAAGTATAATGTTATTTGTTTAATAATTATACGATATAACGAATAAAATATCTAATTATTCTTAATATAATGTTATACTATATCGCTCAGAAAATTGATTTTTGCCCCCCAAAATATAAATTGTTACAAATCACCTCCTCAACTTAGAAAAACGCCCTCACGGGGAGGATATCGCCCCCGTTGATAAACACTGGTCTACAATTTGATATTTTTGCATCACTTAAGATACACATGCATGACACAACGCCATAACATAATCATGCTATATTTTAACACGTGTCGTAATTGAAAACTACTCAAGTTTGAGATATTACTATTGAAAAAAAACTCAGATATACAAATCACATTCAGACATCCATAAACTGCCAAACTTATTTTGTTGTATAATGGTTACTAATGCTTCATTTTGTTTTATTTACACGAACACATCATTTTACAAAATGTCTTTTATAACTATAACTTTCAGGATTTCTATTTTAAACCTTATTCTTTTCTTATTAAGCACTGTTTACTTTGAAAAAAAAATGTCTTCTTTTAGAGATGTACTCTATGACTTGATTGGTACAGTACATGTTAAATATTTGCTTTTTCTGCTTATGTGAAATTTTTATTCAGATATTCATTTTGTTTTGAAAAAAATAAATTGTTTTATAATAATAAACTGGTGTTAGTTTTACTGCGTGTACGGCACGTAACTTTAAAAAGATAATAATAATTTTTTTTATCTATAACTAAATTTTATTTGAAATAATTAAACAATTTAGTTTGGTTGTTTTAGCCTGCATACTTATATTTATCGCGATACTCGAATGATAAGAAATAATACCGTCAAATTCATTTAATCATTCAAATAAATAATCCTCTTTCTTTTTAATTCGCTGATTTATCACGTAATTACTAAACAATATTCTTTATTACTAAACAAATAAAAGCGAATGCAGAACAACAACAATTTGTAAAAATGTATTCATTAAAGAGTTCAAACTCGATGCATTTGAATTGATAAAAATTCAGTTGTAAATATTGTAATAAATCACTTCTTCTTCTTTAGGCTCAACCACTTTCTCGACATTTCTTTTTTTAATACAATAAACAAAAACAACAATAATTAAACATAATAAGATTAGCGAAGTAAGAACAGCAACTGCGATTTTCCATCCAAAAGCACAACCAGCTTCGTCAAAACACGCGCCTTTTGAAAAAGAAACATTTACGAACGACATCAAATTATTTTCTGAGATTTTCATGCATTCATTATTATAAATAATACTGGTGAAAGTAAGAACAGACAAATTTCTTTTGCATGAAATTTCCGAAAAATCTGCAATTTTCCTTTTGTTTCGAAGCAACCAGTCTTTAGTAAATTGCGAATGGCAATCACAAGTCCAATTGTTTCTCGATAAATAGACCGTAAATTCTGCAGAAACGTCAATCAGATTCATTAATCCAGAATTTAATTCGGTTAATCGGTTTCCGTCCAACCAAAGAAATTTGATATTTGGCAAAAGAACATAATCCGAAAACTGGAATAGTGAAGTGTTGCTTAGGTGCAGACGGGTGACTTTGCTCCACGTTCGATAATCCACGATCGACAATTCATTTATGTAATTATTACTCAAATCGACGATTGTCGCATTTTCGATCAGAAATTCGGGTATTTTCTTTAATCCCTTTCCATTACAATCGACTTTGAGGTCGTCGTTTGTCGAGAAACATTCGCAGTTCATTGGACAATGGCTTCTAATGGCGTAGAATCGCGTAAAATCCAGCAATTTTCTTTCTTCTCCGTGACATTTCTTGTATTTTAAATCTGGAAAAATTTGTAATGAAATTGCTAAATTCGATTGAACAGTGCTGATGAAATGCAAAAGTTTTCCATCACAAGTTATTGGGTTTTCACTTAATTCATAACTGGGTCTATTAAATCCGTATTTCCATTCATCGATGTAAATGGTTTTTATCTGACAGTAATCCAAATCCATCTTCATGCGGTTCGGAGTGTAAATCGGCAATTTGACAGTTTCGAAATGGTTAAATGGAGCATAAACATAAGTCAAATTGTATTTTGTCCAATTTAAATTCGGCCATTCCGTCAAACCCGCATTTTTCAAATCAAGTCGTTCGAGTTTATTGTTGAATTCGAAAGAAATTTTACTGAAATTGTTTTCAGAAAGATCGAGAATTCGTATATTATTCGTTGAAAGAAAAATATTATTAGGTAAAAATGTCAAGCGATTAGATGATAAATCCAGTTCTTCCAGATTCGACAAACCTTGGAAAGTATCTTCTGGAATGTTTTCTAGACGATTTCTGCGTAAATTGATTTGTTTGAGTTTAGAAAGTCCATCGAAAATACCATTTGGTATAGTCGATAATTTATTCCAACTGTATTCAAAAGCTTCCAGATTTTTATTATTTTTGAGCAGATTGGATGGAAGATGCAGCACATCGTTAAAACTGAAAACAACTTTTCTTAAGTTGATGGAATGGGAAAAGAAATCTTTTTCGATGCGAAGTAAAGGAAAATAAGAAGCGCGAAATTCTGTCAGATTGACGAGTCCCTTCAAAAACACAGAGCGCAAGTGTGTTTCATTGTGTGGTTTCTTCGATAATAAATATTCAACACTAGAAAATTTTCCAGAAATAGAAAATATTGTTAAATTCGAAAGACCTTCCAACAAGTTTTCAGGATAACTTTTTATCGGGTTTTCTTCCAAATTTAACTCTTCCAATAAAGTTAGAGTTTGAAGGAATAAAGGATGAACGGATTCGATTAAGTTGTTTCTTAAATCGAGGGATTTCAGATTATTCAGTCCACGAAAGAGTTCTTCAGGTAAACTTTGTATTTCGTTACCTCTCAAATTTAACTGTTCCAATAAAGTGAGATGTCGAAAGACGAAAGGATGAACGATTTCAATTAGGTTGTAACTTAAATCCAGGGTTTTCAGATTATGAAGACCATGAAACAGTTTTTCTGGCAAAGCCTTTAATTAACCCGAATTCACTTGTAATTCAGAAAGATTCTTCAATTGTTGAAATGGTCTGTGCAGAAACAGCGTAAAATTATAATCCGTAATTTTCAAAGAAATCAGAGAAGAATCGCCGTCAAAACTCAAATTGAATATGTCGAAAGTTCTTACATTTTTAATTGCTAAGTCTTTCAGAGACGACATATTAATAAATGATGCACTTTCGAAATTCAACCTTTCACTTTCGAGTTTCCACCTTCCACCTTCGAGTTTCAACCTTTCACCTTCGGATTTTAAGGTGTATTTTATGACGATTTTTTCTATGGCATAATTCGAAGCGAATTTTTCGACTGCAAATTTCGACAAGTAACAATCGATAAATTCTAAATTTTTAACGTGTTTAACATTTAAACAACGCATCAAACGAAAATCGATAGTTTGTTCGTCGTTGCAAGTGACAGATAACGTATTGTTGAAGATTTCCACAAACGAATGCTTATTGGATAGATGGCACCTATCAGCATTCAATATACAAAAGTTAAGTTTCTTACGACTCCAACGAAGTACTGTTTCTGTACCGTTTATAATATAAAAATAATTTATTCTATGACATTTGTATATCGGCGATTTACACGAGAAGTTTCCCCATTGGTTCCAGAAATGTTGGCAGCAATTTACTAGAGATAATAAGAATGGAAAAATGATTACCAACCTCATTTTACTGATCACGGTATTGTCGTTTCTTCTATTTTAAGTGAGACGGGAGTCTTTGCGCTTTACACAAGCATTTCTTGTTCCGTTCTCGACTGACAGCTAAAGCGGAATAATTACGAGAATGATGAGAATGAATTATACTTTCTTGTTCTACTCAAAGACAACGATGACATAATTTTTGACTAATTTCCTCGTTATCCGTCTCGCTCATATAGTAACAAAAAATTCGAATTATTTCTATTATTATGTATTGTGCGATATTTATAAAAAGTGTAACTTATTTTATTGAAGTGATTTATTACATACACATTCTAAATATACACTTATACTGCATGTCTGTATTCCCAATCGTGAATCAAGTTGACTGTTCTTAAATTCTGAAGATTGTAGAATTTACAAATGGTCGATTGTATATTTTAATATGCAACATAAAGTTGGAAGTGTCATATAAGAGACGCGACTTATTTATCGACTGTTTTTCTAATTTCCTCGTTTAAAACAATTCATTTTCTAATCCGTTTCTTCGAACTTTTCATTTTAATTCGATTGTATATTTCCGTTTGTGCCCTTAATTATTTCTTTTTCATTGTACTTTGTGTTTTAATCATAGTCAGCACTTATAAAATCTGAAGACATTTACAAGTCTATCATTTTAAACAGATATAGGAGTAACGCGTGTTGCTTTCTGTAAAATTTTTAGGTCTTATCTACGTGCTAATTTAAACACTTGCCTTTCAATACGGAGAAGAGGTTTAACATTTTGACAGTTAATTACATTTGCATAAACAATATCTAACTAATAGATATAATATTAAATTTAAACAAGTTAAAAGTTATTATTCTTTTCCACATATAAAAAACATATTTGAAAAATGTAACAATGTTGGCTTTCTTTGACCAACAAAACGTCACAAAATGTATGTACGGAAATTAAAAATAATAATAACACGTTGACAAAAATTATCTCGTAAAAGAAGGTACGATGTATAAATTAGTATGTAATTATATTAAACCAAACTTGTATATTGGAGAAACAGGCCGCAAAAAAAAGTAAAAGAGAATTAAGAGGCGATACCTCTCAAGTATACTCAATCACCATGGTATAAACATTCAATTATCGAGAACTGTCGAGTTAATAGGAATAAAACTAAAATATTGGACGTAGAAAAGGATACTTATAAACGTAAATTTAGAGCACGCAGAAATTTAGAAATATTGTAAAAATAATTGTTAAATATATCACATGGCATGACCATCGACACTAGATCGTATGAAATAATACAAGGTTGTTCATTATGTGAATACGTGGGCGTAAGGCTCCCGTTCACTAGTCAGGATGATACGTCAGGCGAGTGAAAGGAGAGTTGCTTGGGGTCGACGATAAGGTGAAGGGCGAGATCGAGTAAAGGAGTCTACCATATTTTTAACAAATAAAAATAACAATTCATTAAAGAAGTAAAATGGATAAAAACTACACAAATAGCGTTTCTATACCGCTCTAGAGAGAGTTTCACAGTGCTTTCATACCTATTATAGCCGTCCCCTTTGACGATGCTGGACGTGGATGCCTTTTAAATATCGATCCAAGAGAATAGTTAGTTATAATCTACAAATACGGCACCAATTACATATATCGCGACTTAAGCGCTGATTTAATTCGAGGTTCATCGGAGATCGGAATTCGGCGGGTTGTCTATCCGGCGTTTGTTCAGAGACTCCCCTGAGAGGGGGTAAGAACGGTCTTTTATCCGTTTTAGTGGGGAATTTGCACCACGTGATCGGATGTTCTTAGGTTAGGGGTTATAGGTGTTCCAGGAATCTACAACAAATGACGACATTTAGATGCTAACTGTAAACCTTTTTGCAAGATGAGATGCACGTTCTGCAAAGAACAATGGATATTGCTAGTTATGACCGGAAAGTTTACACAATCCTGGCTAAAAATCGTTTTTTTCTTCTAGGGCGTTACATAAACGAAAGTTCAATTAATTAACCTTTTTGTTAATAAACGAGCGAATTTCCGTCACAAAAATTCCGGATTTCACAATTACATTCACTTTAATAAATATGAATATAATTTGGTCGACTGTATCGTACGGTTTTTGAACTGGTTGTTTTACAATCAATTTCGTCTGTGTTAAACGGATAAACTCGTGTGATATTCATTTTTCAGAATATGTCTTTAACATCATTTCCGTATTAAGTGCAACAGAACAGATAGTAATGACAAGACTATTAGGAAAGTTGCTGTAGTACAGTTAATTGTTGTTATTTTTAACCATTTTCTATTAATATAAGTTATTTTAAAGCGTACTGGATATACTAAGATAGAAAATGGTCATTAAATACGAAGCATTCCGGGATAGGGTCACTTTCATAGGCAGGTATAAATACAGGGTACTGTACATTAATATATGAGACATAAGCTAAAAAATTATAGAAGCTTGTGAATATTGCATTTGAACTGAAATAACCGGTATTCTGACACGAAGATACGAAAGAGGTATTTATAGGTCTACAATTTTTGTAATTGTAGCGCAATGATATTATCTCAAAATTTTTACAGTTCTGCACTTTGGACATCTTGAAATAAGAAAAAATTCGTGAATAATTTCTTTATGCATAAATTTTAGTGTGTAGAAGCACTATTTTTTTTACCATTTTCGAAGCTTAATAACTTCCGTCCTTATTGTCGATTAGTTCTGAAATTTTGCAGGGAAGTTCGCTTATTAAGTAGATTGATAAAATTAATTTCGATGATTTATCTTTTCACCTCTCGATAATTAATGGGAACGTGTATATCTCCACTAGGATCGGAGTTTATGACGATTTTACTCGTTATTAGCTTTCATAATCTTTAATGCGACCCATCTGTACACTCAAAATTAAGGTTTCTGCTATTTTATAATAATTAAAAGTATTTTGCACAATCGACTTACCAAAGTATTACGAATTTGTAGTATCCACGCAATATGGACGAGTCAAACATAGACCGGAAGCGATTCTAGGCGTTTTCACGTGATACAGCGTGACGCGTTATTCCAACGTCATGTCTTTTTTCATATCTGTGGGTACTGTAACGTCACGACAGATCACTAGATCTTTTTAGTTTTACGTTACAATCTGTGACGTCACATCCAATCACTTGACTTTCGAAAAAACAATGATAAATAGATACAAGTAGATACAAATAGATTTCATTGTAGTATTTTAAATCCGGTGTTTTGAGTTTTGTGCGGAATCAAACATGTTTTTTTTACTCATCTAAAAGTTTTCTACTTAGCTTCGAAATAGAGGAATCGATCTCACCCAACGGAAATGCGTGAGATTGGATATAACGTAATAATCTTAAACTTTGCTATCGTTACTTTTTTCGAGCAACGCCGGGCTCGTCTGGTAGTATAAAAACTTAAATTATTTTAATTCCTATACTTTAACATAGAAAGAGGAAATCTGTCATTTTTAAGTGAGGAAGTTGCTGATTCCGACTGACTGATAATTTGAAAGGAATTATTCATCTATTGTACATTTATATTTTATATTAATTATATTAAAAAAGTAAAGTAGAATTTTTAATAAAAGTTGAAAAATAAAAATTTGGAAGTGTTTTAAAGTTGAATTAATTTAATTATATATTTTCCACGTCAAGAAAGTAATAAAAATTTAAACGTAAGAAAAAGTAAGTTTAGAAATGAAATTACAAAGACAGAAAATTTTAGTTGTTACTGAAAAGTCCAAAGAAATAAACTTGAAAAATAATAAGTTTTTTTTTTCAGTTGCGGAAACGTCACATAAAATATCCTCTTCTACTTATTTTCATTTCTAACTTATTTTCCTCTCGTTTCTTAACAGAATTTTATAAAATTAATTGAAAACTTTATTATTTTCTTATTAATTATCGCATTGTTTATATATATACATGTATTATTTAAAAGCGTTTCAATCGATTTAAAATGTATTTTATTACAAATATATTACTGTACAGAAGTGTGAATTTATTAATTAAAAATATTTCATAATTATCTTTAAAAATGTGTAGTCAAAATCCTTTGAAAATGCCTTAAATTTACTTTTTAACTGTATAGGCTTACAAGAAAAATAATAAATTATTTTATTCCAGTGATAATAAGCACAAACACCAGGTATCAATGGAGTACATTTAGTAAAACAAAAAACGGATGTGACAAGTCCTTATTATCTACCTCACATTAGTAGATTTTTAATTAATTTAATTACACCAAGACCAGAAAGCAATATCTTTATATTATTTTATTCCATTGAACCGTAGCAAATTTTTTAAAATCAAAATGAACTTCAAAACTAGAAGGAAAATGCTGTAATTAAAAAAAACAATGGAAGTTTTTACTACCTAAGAAACAAAAGAAAAGTATTTACTTTTATTTTTCTAATCTCTTTCTGTAAATCACATTAATTAACGAAATTACAGATTTTTCGTTTTTAATATTTCAATTGGTAATGAAATTATTTTCGTATTTATAAAAATAATGAAAAATTTTCACAAATAATTGAATGCTGTTAAAAAGCTAAGTACTAAATCTAAGTATCAATCGACAATTGACAATAAAATTGTCGATTTCAAATTTTATTATGCCACATTAATTCGAAAATGTCACATCACAGACACGACTAATTTATTTATTTTAATTGTTTGAATTAAACAAGTCATTACTTTCAATTTATATTTT